TGCTGTTACCATGTAGATTGTTCTCCTGCTTCCACTCCTTTTAACTCCCTTCAAACCTGTTCATACAGGTTTTTCCAAAACCATTGCCTTCATCATTTCTTATAACACAGTAGCATTCTATCACATTCATAATACTGCAGCTTGTTCAGCCATTCCTCAATTAATGAGCATCCCCTCAGTTTTCAATTTTTTGCCACCACAAAAAGTGCTGCTAAAAACATTTTTGTACATGTGGATCTTTTTTCTTCCTTCTTTGATCTCTTGGAGTATATCCCTAGTAGCAGTATTGCTGGATCAAATGGTATGTATACCTTAATAGCCATTTGGGCCCAGTTCCAAGTTGCTTTCTAGAATGATTGAACTATGAACTAGTTCATAGCTGTACTAACAGTGCATTAATATGCTTATATTCCCACATCCCTCCAGCATTTATCATTTTCCTTCGTTGTTATCCTACCCAATTGTTATGGGTAACAATTGGGTATGTTATTCATACGCAATCTGATGGGTATGAATTGCTACTTTAGAATTGTTTAATTTGACTATTTCTAATTATTACTAATTTAGAACATTTTTTTCATATGGCTTATAAATAGCTTTGATTTCTTTCTCTGAAAACTGCCTATTCCTATCTGTGGACCACTTATCAATTGGGAAATGGCTCTTATTCTTGTAAATTTGACTCAGAAATGAGACCTTTATTAGAGAAACTTGCTGCAAAGATTCCCGCCTCCCTCACTCCCAGTTTTCTGCTTTTCTTCTAATTATAGCTGCATTACTTCTGTTAGTACAAAACCTTTTTAATTTTATATATTCAAATTAACCACTTTACCTCTTGTTCATTCTCTGTTCTTGTTTGGTCATGAATTTCCCCCCATCTGTAGGTCATTTCTTCTCTGCTCCACTAATTTGCTTATGATATCACCATTTATTTCTAAGTCTTGCACCATTTTGAGCTTATTTTGGTATATGTTGTGAGATGTCAGTCTAAGTTTCTGCCAGACTACTTTCCAGTTTTCCCAATGATTTTTGTCATTTGACAAAAAGTCTGTTACAATATTAATTTATTTCTGTATATTGTGTACCTAACTTGGTCTATTTGGGCCCTTCTGACAGTCTGGTGAAGTCTCTGGACCTCTTCTCAGAATGTTTTAAATGTATAAAATGAAATTAATAAGATTACAAAGGAAATCATTATATTGAAATACAATTATCAAATATATATATTTTTAAAAGATTCCAGATCCCAGGTTAAGAAACCTTGTCCTATATAATGTTTTGAAAGTAAACGTATATTCTTTTATAAAAAATTACTTATTTTTAGTTTTCAACATTCATTTCCATAAGATTTTGAGTTTTAAATTTTCTTTTGCCTCCCACTTTTTCTCTCCCCCTACCCATGGCATACAATCTGCTATAGGCTCTACATATACATTCATGTTAAGCATATTTTCCCATTCGTCATGATGTAAAGAACAATTAGAACTAATGGGAGGAACCACAAGAATGAAACAATAAAACAAAACAACAAGGAAAAGGAGACCAAATAGTATGCTTCCATCTGCATTCAAATTCCATATTTCTTTCTCTGGGTTCCATCATGAATCTTTGGGAGTTGTCTTAGATTCTTGCATTACTGTGAAGAGCCAAGTCTATCAAAGTCAGTCAGCCCATAATGTGGCTATTACTATGTACAATGTTTCTCCTGGTTCTGCTTATTTTCCTCTGCATCAGTTCATGTAAGTCTTTCCAAGTTTTTTTGAAGTCTGCCTACTCATCATTTCCTATAGCACAATAATATTACATTCATATACCACAAAAAGGGGCAGCTAGGTGACACAGTGGATAGAGCATGGGCCTTGGAGTCAGGAGGACCTGAGTTCAAATATGGCCTCAGACACTTGATACTTATTAGCTGTGTGACCCTGGGCAAGTCATTTAACCCCGACTACCTCACTGAAAAACAAAACAAAACCAAAAACAACCAACCAACAACAACAACAAAATCAAACCTATGTCATACATTCCTATCCCACAACTTGTTCAGCCATTCCCCAATTGATGGGCATTCCCTCAATTTCAATTCTTTGCCACCACAGAAAGAACTGCTATAAATATTTTTGTATATGTGGGTCCTTTTCCTGTTTTTATGATCTCTTTGGGACACAGACCTAGAAGTGGTATTGCTGGGTCAAAAGGTAAGTACAATTTTATATGGGCATAGTTCCAAATTGCTCTCCAAAATGGTTGGATCAGTTCACAATTCCACCAGCAATGCATTAGAGTTCCAATTTTCCCACATCTTCTCCAACATTTATCATTGTCAACTATTTTGTCATGTTAGCCAATCTGATAGGTGTGATGTGGTACCTCAGAATCATTTTGATTTGCATTTCTCTAATCAATAGTGATTTAAAACATTTTTTCATATGACTATAGCTTTATTTTCTTTGTCTGAGAACTGCCTGTTCATATCCTTTGACCATTTATCAATTGGGGAATGACTTGTATTCTTATAAATTTGACTCAGTTCTCTATATATTTTAGAAATTAGGCCTTTATCAAAGACACTGGTTGTCAAAATTCTTTCCCAGTTTTCTGCTTCTCTCCTAATCTTGGATGCATTGGCTTTATTTGTGCAAAAAACTTTTCAATTTAATGTAATCAAAATTATCCATTTTGCATTTCATAATGCTCTCTGCCTCTTGTTTGGTCATAAATTCTTCCCTTCCCCATAGATCTGAAAGGTAAATTATTCCTTGCTCTTCTAGTTTGCTTGTGGTATCAGTCTTTATATCTAAATCTTGTACCCATTTTGACTTTATCTTGGTATAGGATGTAAGATGTTGGTCTATGCCCAGTTTCTGCCATCCATTTTTCCAGTTTTCCCAGAAGCTTTTGCTAAATAGTGATTTCTTATCCCAGAAGCTGTAGTCTTTGGATTTATCAAATAGTAGGTAAGTATAGTCATTAACTCTTGTGTCTTGCATACCTAACCTATTCCACTGATCCACCACCACTCTGTTTCTTAGCTAGTACCAAGTAGTTTTGATTATTGCTGCTTAATAATACGATTTGAGATCAGATTCAGCTAGGCTACCTTTGCTTATATTTCTTTTCATTAGTTCCTTTGATATTCTGGACTTTTTGTTCTTCCAGATCAATTTTGTTATTGTTTTTTCTAGCTCTATGAAATAATTTTTTGGTAGTTTGATTGGTATGGCACTGAATAAGTAAAATAATTTAGGTAGCACTGTCATTTTTATTATATTAGCTCGGCCTACCCATAAGCAAGTGAGATGCCTTAAATACCTTCTGAAAAGGAATTCCCCTGACACGTGAAAAATCAACCTTGATTGGTGGACATTTAATGAGGAGGTAGGTTAAAAGTCTTCAGCTCTCCTGCTGAGAAACGTGGCTTGTCAGGAGACTCAGCAGCCTCCAGCAAACTGGGCAGGGGGAAGCCATCTCCATCCAACCTCCCTGGCCAGTTTTCTCCTTCATGAGCTGAGTCATCTTAAACTCTAATGAGGGAGATCAAGGACAGCGGTTCCCTCCCTCAGGGAAAGGTTTCACCCACACTAGATTTTGTTCATACTCCAAACAGAAATTAAGTCTCTTGGTGAGCATTGTGCCTGGCCCTAGATAGAAGAGAATGTTCCTTGAGGTCTAGAACAATCCCATCAATCAGTCATGTCCTTCAGAGAAGGGCTGACCTTAACTAGTTAGGATTCTAAACAGAAATTAGGAGAAAATCCTTGATTACTAATTAATTATTCATATAATAGTATGATAATAAGTCTCTCAAGTGACTAGGTGCCACATTGGATGGAGTGCCAGGCCTGCAGTCAGGAAGACTTCTTTTCCTGAGTTCAAATCCTGACTCAAACACTAATTTTGACCCTGAGCAAGTCACTTAATTGCCTTTGTCTCAGTTTCCTCATCTATAAAATGAGCTAGAGAAGGAAATGGCAAACCACTCCCAATATCTTTGCCAAGAAAACCCTAAATAGGGTCATGAAGAGTTGGACACCACTGAAAAGCAACTGAACAGTGAGGCATTCATGGAGCATACAGATGACAAAGGTAACTTATAACTCTTGATTCTGCAGGACCTAGAAGTTCTTTCTCTCATTATGGAGTCCTTATGCATACGGTGCCTCTGCAGGGCTAGTTGCTCTGCTAGGTTCCCAGGGTCCAGTCTGCTCTTCTCTATAGTGTCACCAGGTGATCCATTTTTCTGGCTTTGTTTATAAAGATAGCTAGGCTACTGAGGCATAATGGAGTTGAGATCTTCATCTGTGGTAGGAGGACCTACATTGATGAAACCATAGATAACATGAAGCATTATCATTTGTCATTGTTCTCAAAATGTTCTAAGCATGCCTCTAAATCTTCTGTGTTGATGGAAAGAGACCTCTCTTTCCCTTAGTTTAATCAAGGACTTTCTTGATGAAGCACCATGGCTTTTGGGTTATGGATAGATTTCGGGAAGATTGCCAGAATACCGCTATTAGTAAAGGTAGCAAACATGTATTAAGCTAAAATTCAGCAGGGAACAGGGGAGCTACAAGCAAAATAGAAACTACGGTCCTTGCCTTGAAGAAATATATTAAAGCACCCAATTGAGATAAAAATAAGGACTTTAGAGATCATCTGTTGCGTCAAATAAAAATGGGGAGAGGGAGCGATCTTTGCAACTTGTTCACTTAGAAAACCACATATTAACATTATCTATGTTCTATTATATTTTCTTTATTTTGTTAATTATCCCTCAATTACATTTAGATCTGGTTGGGTTGCACTCATAAGTGCCAAAGCCACATGTCTGACACTCCAGAACTCCTTCAATTCATAAAGAATTCTGTGTATTCAGTGCCCTAAGGTTTACAAAGTACTTTCTCCACATCCCTAGGAAGGGGGCTTACCCAGAGGCCAATTGCTTCCACGATTTACAACCTTATTAAAACTCATCATTAAAAAAAAAAAAACAACCTCACCATATGTTTCTTAACAACGTCCAGTTCAGTTTCTTAAAACAATTATTTTCTGGTCTTCGTAGCTAGGAATGTTAATGTTTTCTGTAGCTAAGTTCACAATAAAAAAGAAAACTTTTAAAAACACAAAGGTTGGGGGAGTGCCCCCAGTACAGTACAGGTACTTTCCCCGCCCCTGCAGTCTCCTCATTTGAACTGAGGACCCCCTGGCCTTCCTCGGCGTAACCCGCTGCCCCCTCCCCTTGGCCTTTCAAACGCGCCCCGGGGGCGGGCTGTGAGGTGGCTCCTCCCAAGGCCGGAAGCCCGACTCTGGGTGTGCGGCCCGAGCCCCGGCGCGGAAAACGTCACAGCTGCCGCGTGCGCGGAAGCCTCGGCCCCGCGTCCTTTCCTGCCCCGGCGCGGGGAGCGTCTTCCCCGGCCACTATGCCCCAGAGCGGGCCATGCTGAGGCTCTGGGCCGCTGTCCCCAGAGTTGTCGCGGGTGCCTTCGGCCGCTGTGGCCCGCGCCGCCTGAGCGCCGGCATGTTCTACGCGGTGAAGAGGGGCCGCAAGACCGGCGTGTTCCCCACTTGGTGAGTGGGGAGGGAGTGAGGGTTTGTGGGAGTGAGTGTGCCCTCCTGGGCAGTGAGGCTGTCCTCCTGGCCACTGGGTGGGTGTGCACTCCTAGTGGTGAGTGTGCCCTCCTGGTGGGTGGGTGAGAGTAGCCTCCTCCAGCCTCCCAGGTGGGTTGGCTTCCTCCCTTCCACCTCTCCGCCGTCCACAAAGTCCACAGCAGTCAAGACACACCTCAGACACATCTTTGTTCCCTTGCACAGGAAGGTCAGAGAGTGCCAACTTGAGCCTTCTGACCTACTCCCCTTGGCATGGCCTGGCTCCATCAGTGAGAAAAGGTCAGCCTTTTGGGGAGATGTTTAGATGACAGTCTTTGGCAGGGTCTGTGATCTGCTGCATTTTATAATTGACCAAGGAGTTATTCAAAGTTTTGTCATTCTGCCAGCCCTGTTTTCTGTCAATTAATTTCCCTCCCTTACCAAACAAAGAAGATCTTAATTTCAGCCTTTTGGGCCCCAAAGTGGGACCATGCGTAGATAGCCCTGAAACCATTCCTGGAATTTTAGAGGTGGAAGGGATTTTAGAGGGCAACAAGCCCCTAGAATAACAATTTAAAGCTGGAAACAACCTGAAAGCTCATCCAGTTCAGTCCTAACAATTTACAGATGAGAAAAATGAAGAGATCTTGGGGACTAGGACTTGGGCCCAGGAGCTTTCCAAGGTAGAATATTTTTCACTGTAACCTGACAGTTAATGTTTTTTTTTTTTACCTTGAATGTCTAAACTACCTACTGAAGGGCTGATAGAGCCCATGAGAGCCCATGAGAGATTGCAGAATCAAAATTAAACATTTGGTATCTGTTGTACGTTCAGAGAGAGCAATTGAGATAGATGGTTGGACAGATGCAGTCTGGCCAACTCTCAGTCTTAGCCTTAAGAGTGTTTCCAATAAAGCAGAATCCTTTAGAAACACTTTTTGCTCATCTTTCCTTCTTCTTAGGAAAGGATAGATTAATAAACTGCTTCTAACAAGGTAGTTGTTCAGTTGAGGATCTTTTATGTTGTTTTCTCTTGTTGAGTCATTTCAGTCCTGTACAATTCTTCATGAGCCCATTTGGAGTTTTCTTGGCAGAAATACTGAAGTGGTTTGCCATTTCCTTCTCCAGCTCATTTTTACAGATGAGGAAGTGGAGGCGAACAGGGTGGAGTGACTTGTCCAGGGTCAGAGAGCTAATAAGTGTCTGAGACTCAATTTGAACTTAGGTCTTACTGACTTGCAGGCCTGGCATTCTATCCACTTCACTATCTAGTGCCACTTGTTTATATCTAAGATTGGACTAATCAGTCTATAAGAAGATTCTGGTGAGCACCTGCTATGTGACTAGTATTGTGCTAGGTGCTATAAAAAACACAGTATTTGTATTAGATGGGGCTGCTGCCCCCAACAAGCTTATAATCTTATTTGTGAAACGGTAAAATTAACACACCAAAACAGCAGTAATTGAGGATCATTCTCACCTGAATTATATGGAAAGAAGCCTCAACAAAGTTGATAACACCATAACAGACTGATATTCTAAAAATAAGCATAGTGTTTTGTAAACCTTAAAGCACTACATAAATTAGAACAGTTTATTATTATTGCTAACATATAATTAGAAGAAATCTGTGCTGGAAGTGACACTTTTGAAAGCATTGAAAATTATGTCTGAAGATACATGAAAAAGGGGAAACTTACCGAACAACAACAAAAAAAGATGGTTTTGCTACCAGAAATAAAGCCATAACTCTACCAGTGCCTACTATCTCATTTTATAAAAATGAGCGTGGTGTGTACACACACACACATACACACACACACACAGAGAAGAGGTTTCCTTGAAAAGATGAGAAGGCAGGTTTTCACAAACTTCTTTTTACAGCTGACCACATTTTAATTGACTTAATTGAAAGGTGCAGATAATATAGTATCCCATGGTTTGATTGTTTTTAAAACATTTGACTTAGTAGAGAAAAAGAAACTTTAAAGGTATCTTCTTAATATGTTATGATCACATAAGATTCCTTGATAAGTATGATAGATAGAATTTTGTTTAAAGATCCTATGATTTATCAATATCAAGCAAGGCATGAAAGATTATGTTCACTACTATCTGAAGGATGAGTTTAGAATCCAAATGAAAAGAAATTCCTTATAGCAGATGATAATAATAGGCAAGTTCTTTGGATCATAGTTTAGAGTTAGAAGAGGCCCCAGAGGTCTTCAAGTTCAAATCCCTCATGTTACAGGTGAAGAAACTAAAACTCAAGAGTTGCTGAGTGGCTTGGTTGGTCACAGTTGCACAGCTAGTGTTTGAGATGGGATTTAAACCCCAGGTCTTTCTGACCAAATTCTTCTAGCAGTTCCATTTTCTGGATGACATTGTATTGATTGAAATGAGCCCCGGAACTTTCCAAAATCTCAATTACAAGATCTACAACCACTCAAGAATTCAACCTGCATAGTGAGTAACAGGAAAATCCAAATGTATGAAGAATGTCCATTGTGAAAACTGATATGCAGGTGGTATGTGGGTATGTATGCATGTGTGAAAACGCATACATATGCATTGTACGTATGTGTGTATATCTTGAATAGGCACTTTAGATGGATATTGGGGTGGGCTTGGATCAGTCATGAAGAGCCACATAAGATGAGAAGGTATAAATGGTTTATGATTTATGCTTTGGAAAAGTGTTCTCATATCAATCAGATCATGGTTCCATTAAAGTCTTTCCAGTATACAAGCCCAAATCCCGTATATTAGAAAGCAGCTGGATAGTAGCTAACACAGTGCCTTGAACATTGTACGTAGAAAAAAAATTTGTTAAGTGAATGAAAATTCAAACAAGTTTAGCACGTTTTGTACTAGAACAGTGATTTTTAACCTTTTCATGGATCCTTTTGGCAGTCTGGTAAAACCTATGGACCCTTTCTTAGAAAGATGTTTTCAGATGCATAAATAAAATGCATAGGTTTACAAATGAAACTGATTATATGGAAATACAGCTTTCAAAATACTTTAAAAACAAGCAAAACAGGTTCAGAGACCTCGGGTTAAAAACTCTTTGATTAGGAGGAAGCCGTGTAGTCTCATTATCTAGTTAACATATAGTAGAGTGGATAATAGAGCAGGTGTACTAGGTATATTGAGAATAAAGAATAAGATAGTTCTGTTAGGTAGTTCAGAATCAAATCACTTTTCATCCTGAAGCTAGGTTTGAAAAACAAAGCCAAATTTTTAACACCTCATTGAAAGGCAGGTAACATTGTATAAGCAATTCTTATAAAGCACTTCTTTAAGTGTTAACAGCAGCTAGTTTGGACAGTGAATAGTATGTTGGACTTAAGAGTAGGGAAAACCTGAGTTCAAATCCTTCCTCAGATATTTATTAGCTTTGTTATCCTAGACAAGTCAGTTATCTATATCCCAGTTTCCTCATCTGTGAAATGGGAATTATAATAGTATTTACCTCACAAAGTTATTGTGAAGTTCAAGTGAGATAACATATCTTTGCAAGGCTTTGCAAACCTTAAAATGTTCTCTAAGTTCTCTTATTGTTATTATTGTACCCTTTGTAAGTGATCTATGTCACTGTTTCAGGAGTGAATGTCAAGCACAAGTGAACCGATTTCCTGCTGCCAGGTTCAAGAAGTTTGCTACTGAGGATGAGGCTTGGGCCTTTGTCCGAAATACTGCAACCCCTGATCGTTCAACAGGTACCGTACCTTATGTTTTTATCTCTCCCGCCCTTTCAAAGCATTTTCACATCTGTTGTGTCTCATTGGATCTTCATAATTCTATGACCTTTTTCCTTTTCTAGACTTCTTTACATTCTCTTCATGGACCATAATTAATTAAATAGATGCCCTTGAGAGGTCTCTTCCTGGTTTTGGAATATTGACAGAAAAACTATATCGTTACCCAAATTTTGTTCCACAAGAATATGTGCTCTAAATCTCCTCCTGTACCCTCAGCCTAGAATGAAAGAACTACAAGATAAATCAATGTGCAAAAATTTTTACATAATAAAGGCAGAACAGTTTGTATAATTCTTTGTACAGTTGGGTTCTTGAAGACAGTCCTTAAATAGAGAAGGTGATATTTGAGGATGCCTTGAGGCCAAGATGATAGTAAAACAGTATCTAGATTCCTCCTCCCTTCCCCACAAAAGCTCCTTGAGGAGCAGAGACTGATTCATTTTCTTCCTTGTATGTAGTGTCTATGTAGAAGGTGCTTAATAAATGCTTTCTAATTTGGAGTTTAAGTCATTTAACCTCTTTATACCTCTGTTTTCCAAACTAAAATGTGGATGTTGGACTACAGTCTTCATATTAGAAGTAAAAACTTGGTGAAAGCTTGTGTTTATTTTCTTGCTATACATGGATTTTTTTCCTTGTAGAGCAGAAAAAGGAAAGTGACACGGAAGACCTGAAAGTGAAGCCACACAAGAGACCCTGTGAGTCATCAGGTGAAGAGGAAGAGCCTTGCTCAAAACTTAAAAAACAAAATACAGACTCAGTACCGTCACTTAGCAAAGATACATTTTCTTACATGGGTAAGTGTAAAA